AATGGGCAGCCAGGCTGCAGCCTGGCCCTCTGGTGTCCTGTGACAGGCTCCGGGAAGGGTAGCTGTTTGATCTGGAACTTCAGGCTCTCTGGCAACCCCACACCCACCCAAGGCTTCCCCAAATTGCCCTAGCAATTACCGTCTCGGGGCCCCGCCGCGCTTCGGCCTTGCCACAGGAGTGCAGAAAGTGCAGCCAATGTGGGAGACGTGTCGCTGGGGCTGGTGACGCCAACTCTGAGGTTACCTCAGCTCTGGGCAAGAGGCTCCTTCCCGGAGAGAGGGGTTTGCTTGGCGCTGCGGCCTTCTGCTTTATGTGCACGTCTCCTCTAACTTCGCCCCGTGAGTCCTTGGGGCTCGCCTGCCTCCTTGGGAGGGGCTGTGGTGTGGGAAGTTTGCAGAAGGAGGGACGAGCTGACTGGCCACTTCTGGCTGGGAGGACTCATCACCTTTACCCTCACCGGTCACTCCTGGTCACTGGAAACACGTGGGTCCAGATGAAGAACGTTGCCCCCTTGCGCCCGAGGCTGAGGCCGTGTTCCACGATGAGGCCTGCGAGTGGGTGTAGAAATCCAGGGTGTGTGGGAGCAGACATGACTGCTTGCCAGGGCTGATCAGTCCTTGAAGGAGCGCCGGGTGGTGGGTGTGTGCCTACCGGGGGCAGCGGGCAGTCATCACAGCTTATGAAATGAAACAGCCGGTGAAGCCCAGCGCTGAGCCGTTCGGCACAGCTCAAGCCAGCTCCTCTGGGTTCTTTCCCAGCTCTGCCACTTCCTGCCGATGCCAGAGAGGACCCTCACTGTGCCTCCCACAGGAACCCCTTTAAGGGTTAAATGAATACACACGATAGGGGTGTTAGATTGCACATTATAGCGCTGGCCCCAAATGCTGTCACCTGCTCCCTGCACCCCCAGCCCTCCCTGCCCACCACACAGCTCAGGGTAATGCGTATTGACCCCGCCACAACCGGGTGCAAGACGAAATGACACAGGCCCTGCCTTTCAGGAGCTCAGAACCAAGTGTCCAAAAGAGCGGGTTCGAATGCCTTGTGATATTGATGCCCGGGGGAGGGGCGACTGTGGACAGGAGCCATCTAGCAGAGGAGGCTGGTCAGAGGCGGTTCCCCAAGAAGGCAACATGAGCTGGCCGGAGGATGAGAACCAGAGGGCGTGCAGGCACCAGACGCCAGAGCAATTAGGCATGTTCCACGAGAGTCTGCCGGGCACCCCGGCGTTCCCTGCGGAGCACTGAGCCGGGAGCAAAGATCCCAGCAGGGGAGCGGCACGTGCAAAGGCCCTGAGGCAGGCGGGCACCTGTGTTGGAGCTCTGAGGAAGAGGCTGATGTTGCAGCAGCAGGAGCTGTGGAGCGGAGCTGCCGCGCCGAAACAGCAGGAGCCACAGCGAACGGTCCTCCCACGCCCGGGCGAGTAGTGTGGATTCTCTTTGAGTGCAGTGGAAACGCTGGAGCATTTGAAGCAGAAGACAGTAACAGAGTGCGCCTGACACTGTCAAAGCACCCCCGGCGGATGGGCCAGGAACAAGGCGGGCGGGCTCAGTGAGGGGGTGGCCTAGCCCAGGGCGGCGGCGAAGGGGAGCGGTCAGATCCCAGAGAAGTGTCTCTTAGGGTGTCGGAGGTTTCCGGGGGCGGGGGCTGGGGTGGGCAGGAGGCCGTGATGCTGAGGCGCGTGGAGGCAGAGCTCAAGGAAGAGGCGGGGGGAGTGTGAGCACCTTCTCTGCGCCCGGAGTGCCACACTGGCCACCCAGCTCGTGGCCACTGTCCACGCAACGGGGGGCGAAGCGTCTCGACAGCAGGCGGGCAGCAAGCAAAGAAGCCACACGCTTTTTAAGATTTATCTGTTTATGCACACAAGAACTGGGGTACAGAACTGGGGCACAGGCCAGAGGCGCAAGGGGTGACAGGCTTCCCCAGAGACAGAGCGGGCAGCAGAACAGGCCGACTGACAAAGTCCCCTGCAGAGGGGAGCAGCGGGAGGGGCCAGGAGAGGTCTGCCGCGCCCTGTGGTCACCTCCTGGCGGGGGATCGAACTCGTGTTGCGGTGGCTGTGGGCAGCTTCACGGTGCTGCGCTGTAACCCGCCGCGCCACCAGGGAGGCCCAGGAGCCGCGGTGTTAGCCCAGGAGTATCTGTTGCAAGCCCACTCCTCTCACGGGTACGCGAAAACAGCTGTGTGGCCGTACACCACCACCTTTGTAAGAACACGTTGACTTCCTTCGATCTAGTGACTCCCCCCTTCCAGTTCTGAATTGTTCAAACAAAACATGAATGCATATGCTCCTGGCTAACAGAAAAGTTCTCCCGCCGGCGTCCTCTTGGCCACGATCAGCAATCACGCGTTCTTCCCCCTCCGGGCCCGTCCTCGTGAGATGGGGCGTGTCCGGCACGCCCGGACTCTGCCACACACTGGCACGCACGTGTGTGTCCACAGAAAATAGAAACTATTGCTTGCTTGAGTCTTCTGTTTTGTATAAATGGAACCGAGCATACAGATTGCTCTGGAACTCGCTCTTTTCACTCAAGTTTGTCTGAGAGAGCGTTCCCTGGTCTCACATACAAATGGACCTCTGTGTGTGTGTGTGTGTGTGTGTGTGTGTGTGTGTGTGTGTGACTGCTGCATGGTGGTTTACGGACTGCATGTACCACAGTTTACTGAGCCCACTCAGTTTCCAAAGACAGAAATGCATTTTTCTATAAATGTAGCTTTTGAAGGGCTTGTGGAATTTTTTCCTTTCAAAATATAAGACTTTTATTTATGTTAATGGAGGAACCCACACCACCGCGACAACACAAATATTTAGCAACACCCAGCCTGGTGACTAAGTTTTCCCCATTTTCCTTCAGGTGCTTGGCATCCTGGGAGCTAACTCTTGTCCATTGCCAAGTCCCTGTTTATAGCTAAAGGCTGCCTTGAGAGCAGCCAGCCAATGGTGGAGTCTTTGGCTTGGACTTCAGTGCCAGGTCCTGAAGCAGGCAGCTTCAGGTGTGGAAAGAATACAGCTGTGGAGCCGTGGAGCTCTGGAGCCAGCACTCATCTTTAGCTGTGTGACCCTGGGCATGTCGCGCTACTTCTCTGGGCCGCTGTTTGTCCACTCGTAACTTGCCTCTTGCAGTCCCCACGGTAGAGCACAGCCGAAAGGTCCAGGGGGAGGCTCGTGCTGACGGCGCGAAGAGCACCTCCGTGCAGGTAGCCCCCTCGGTCTGTAGCCCCAGCCAAGTTGGGGGCGATGGAGCGGGATTTGGTCCTATCCGAAGGGGTGACTCAAGGTCACGGCCCGAGAAGGCAGGAATATGCCCCTGCTTTCTGGTGATGCACTGGGGATGGCGTTGGGGCTCAGAGGGAGGAAAGGACCTCCCTGCAGACTCTGGGCCTCGCCTGTGTGCCGGACACGCCCCACCTCTGCCTCTGCTTTCGCCTTCACCCCAGCGGGCAGAGCAGATGGGCCCTGGCCCCGTTTACGGGCAGGAAGACTGAGGCCCAGAGACGCACCGCTGGCCTGCGTTCAGGGGACTGGCCTGAAGCCCACGGAGCTCAGTGGCCCCTGCTTCTGCTTCCCAAGGCCGAGCTTGCCTCTGCAGAGCGCCCCCTCCTGCAGGCCCCTCCGGCCTCCTCCTGCCCAAGGGGATGAGACGGTCTAGTCAGAGGTTTGCTCAGGACCCCCTGAGTCAAATCTCTCAAATGAAGTTCAAGCGGCCACGGGTTTTGTGTGTGCAGTAAGGCTCCCTTCTTTGCAGGTCACCCCGGGTTTGGGCAAGGCGAGTGTGCTCTCCCCTGGTCAGAGGTCCGAGGGCCCGGCCAGGCCTCGGCATCCAGCCCGGCCCTGCAGCGGGGGCACCCTGTGCCTCGCCACTCGCGCCCCAGTCTGCGGGCCGAGATCTGCCCGCTGTCGGCTGGGAAGCAGAGGCCGGCAGCGGCAGATTTCACGAAGAAAAACGCAAATCACCCAACTAAATTTGAATTTCAGAGTCACAACAAATAATTGATTTTCTATTACAACATCCCAAATCTTACATGAAATATAACTTAACCAAAAAAAATGTATCTGCAATTTGGAGTTAACGGGGGTCCTGTAGCTGCCGCCGCAGCCCTCTTGAGGCCCCGGCACCTCTGGGACACTCTCCCCTCGTCCCCACCTTTCCCGGGGTCCCCACCTGTTACAGTCCCCCCATACCTGGAGCATGAACTGGGGGGTTTCTGGGCCTAAGAATTTTGGGGGTGAGGGGAGAGATGGAGTGGGACAGGGCCCTTAGCTACCTCGGAGAAAAGAGGAGCGGTGTGCACAGGTGGGCTCAGGTGGGCTCAGGTGGGCTCAGGTGGGCCCAGGTGGGCTCAGGTGGGCCCAGGTGGGCCCAGATGGGTCCAGGTGGGCTCAAGTGGGCCCAGGTAGGCCCAGGTGGGTCCAGGTGGGCTCAAGTGGGGCCAGGTGGGTTCAGGTGGGTTCAGGTGGGCCCAGGTGGGTCCAGGTGTGTCCAGGTGGGTTC